CATTTTGAATCAGCTGAAGCGACTTGACTGACTTCTTGGTACACCCTGATAATAAAGAGTTACAATAATCCAGCCTTGAAGTAACAAATGCATGGACTAGTTTCTCTGCATCGTTTTGAGGCAAGATATGCCTGATTTTTGCAATGTTACGTAGATGGAAGTAGGCGGTCCTTGAAATTGATTTTATGTGGGCGTTAAAGGATAAATCCTGATCAAATATAACACCAAGATTCCTTACAGTCTCACTGGAGGCCAAATTAATGCCATCCATGGTTAATATATCCTTAGATAATTTGTTTCGTAGATTCTTCGGGCCAAGTACAATAACTTCAGTTTTGGTCGTGTTTAACATCAAAAAGTTTAAGGTCATCCACGTTTTTAAGTCCTTAAGGCAGTCTTGAATTTTATTTAGATGATTAATTTCATCAGGCTTGATTGATAAATATAGTTGAGTATCATCCGCATAACAATGAAAATGTACAGAATGATTCCTTATAATATTGCCTAACGGAAGCATATATAATGTGAACAAAATAGGTCCGAGCACTGAGCCCTGTGGCACTCCATGGCTAACTTTGGTTTGCGTGGAAGATTCATCATTGACACGTACAAACTGAGAGCGTTCAGATAGATAGGACCTAAACCAGTCTAAAGCAGTTCCCTGTATGCCAACTAAGTGCTCTCGTCTTTGCAATAGGATATCATGGTCGATAGTATCAAATGCAGCACTGAGATCGAGCAAAACAAGAATAGAGACACGTCCCTTGTCAGAGGCTATTAGAATGTCATTTGTGACTTTAACCAGAGCTGTCTCTGTGCTATGATGTGTTCTAAAGCCAGACTGAAAATCTTCAAATAAATCATTGTTTTTTAAGTAATCACACAGCTGTTTTGCGACCGCTTTCTCAAGAATTTTTGAGAGGAACGGAAGATTGGAAATAGGTCTATAATTGGCTAAAACCTCTGGATCGAGGTTGTGCTTTTTAAGAAGCGGTTTTATCACTGTTACTTTGAATGATTGTGGAACATAGCCTGATAATAAAGACATATTCATAATATTTAATAAATAAGTGCTAATTAATGGAAAAACTTCCTTCAACAGCTTAGTTGGAATTGGGTCTAACATACACGTTGATGGTTTAGAAGAGAGAATCATTGAATTTAATTGTTCAAGGTTTATGGCTGAAAAGCATTCTAGTTTACTATCTAGTGTAATATTAGAACTTACGTTTCCGGGAGCTGTTGATAACACTATACTGGTCAAAGGCAAGAGGTCATTAATTTTGTTTCTAAGAGTAACAATTTTATCATTAAAAAAGCACATAAAATCATTGCTACTGAGTGCTATGGGAATAGAAGGCTCAATCGAGCTGTGGCTCTCTGTCAGCCTGGCTACAGTGCTGAAAAGAAATCTTGCATTATTCTTATTCTCATCTATTAATGAAGAGTAGTAGGCTGCTCTCGCTTTACGCAGTGCTTTCTTATATTCATTGAGAGTAATATGCCAAATTTCAGCAACATTTTCGGTTTTGCAGCCTTGGTTTATATTTTCTTTACACATCAATCTGGTATTTGATTGCAGCAGGCAAATAAAGTTAAAATAAGAGCTTAAAGGGGGATGAAGGGTGAACGTTGTTATTATGTTCCCTCTATACACTTTTTACACTGTGTCAATGGTGTTTTTAAAGCTTCTGATGTCCCCAAGTGGGCCAAAAAAACGTATTCCACTTCTTTGTAAAGGCCCGGACAGCTGACACCAAAGAACTGACACAGACGGACCCCCGACTGTTGTGTCGCCTCACTTCTCTGCGTCTTGGCCATGTGTCGCAGTCGCACTGGAACACACCGCAAAGACTTCAGCCGACGGCCAAGAAGCACGTACGAACTGCGCATGCGTGAGTGGCAATAACTCTCCTTACCAGCAGGCGGCGGTAGTGTGTATTCGTCATTCAAAAGAGGCAACAACCGGAAGACAGACTGCGTGATAACCGAGAGAAGAGGAACAAATTGCGTGATATAAACAAACAACAAATAGCGTGTGCGTTCCATTTTCACTCTACAGCGAGAAGCTCATGGGGCTTTCCCGAACCTGTGTCGAGAGCTGGAGTTAAATGAAATCTCAGATTTGCCTTCTTAATAGTTTGTTTGGGTCCCTCACTTCTGTTTCGCTTCTCATGCACTGATTCGCTAAACTGAACAGCCAATCAGAGTGATTTATTTTGACGACTGCCGGGTTTTCGGCCGAAAAGGCGTCGGCCCGGCTGAAAAGACACGACGGTGCGGGACACACCAATCTGAGTAGGGCGTGTCGACACTCATCGTCGGCCTGACACCCCCCAACGGCCAACATCGGCTTGGTGTGTCCGGGCCTTAAGACACAGACCCCCAGTAACTATGCCAGACCAATACACAACATCAACTTTTGTAAATGTCACACTTGATCCTGAGGAGGAGATTCTGTGCTTCGGTTGTAATTTAGCAGCTTTTTGTGTTGTTTATCTCCGTGTCACGCTTTAAAGGTCAGGGCGTAATCACAGGCCTCAACATCACTCCAGCACAAAGAGAAAGCAGATGATCACCAGAGGAAAATGTCAGCCAGATATACAGTAGAGTGCTGATTGTCCATTAGAACAAGGCTGTGGCCAAGACTGAATAAGATTAGTCTGGACCTCGGTCATTTAGCTCCACTCGACAAGGTCACACAACTCCCAATACCACAAATACACACACTGATTGTGAGGAAAATATAACCTTGATTTCATGTGTGTGTATGAGTATGTGTGAGTGGGAGAAATATTTTTTGATTAGGAAGTGTGCCCCCTCAGAAGAGACCTTATTTCACTTACTGTATTATTTTTCACACCTTGTATAACTCTAGTATTCATCCTTTATTCTTACATGCATACAATATGCATTGCATTTATTTGCACATAAATTGTAGATTGACATTTCTGCAACTAGGGCATGTGACACTTCTCAGATTTAAATACATGTTAAACAGTTATAATTAGACCAGGCAGCGTGCTGTTAGTGAAATGATGTAAACATTATACAGTAAGCTTGTTTGGTGAGGAAACAGAGCAATACAATTACATTATTGATGCTAAATAGTACATTTGCTCTGCATCTCTCCCTATCTCTGATTCACTGCTGATGTACTACTATTTTTGCATCTTTTAAATCCATGTATTAATGTATGATGAAAATACAACCAGCCTCTACACACTAGTAATCATCAGATTCCAACGCCAGAGTATAGACATTATTTGGCATGTTAAACCAAATAATATATCGTTTTCGAAATGTTTAATCCACTTTTTCAAGTTATTTAACTTGCAATGAACGTCAAATTGCTTGCAACAGGTAATCCATCACTCTGTTTGTCAGCCTTCTTTTCCCTTAAAGGTGTTCGTCAATTGTTAATGATGCAATTGCAATCAGTTATAAAATCCCTCTTTGTGCATTCAAGGACTTCCAATATTTGGGATTATAAAGGTGACTGACTCATAAGAGCTGTGTCAATGCTAGAAACAACCATTTTAACACATGAAGCTCAGCACAAGTTCAACCAGGAAGACCTTCTTTACTCATTCATTACTACTCTCTCTCCTAAGTGATCGGGGGCGTCACTCCCCAGCTTAACCAATCACTTCGCTCTATTCTCACAAGCATATCACAGCACTCCGCTAACCCCTTTTAAATCTGCTCTCCCCTCTGACAGCTGTCATTTCAGGTGAATCAACGAAACCCTCCTCCACCCCTTTACACCTTCTGTCCCTCTGAATCCAGGGTCAAGCTAAGCCACTCCCCTTCAGACCGACCCCAACCATCCATTCACCACCACCAGGGTCTAGACCCCGGGGGGGTTTCATCGGATCGGATCTCCCCTCCCGAATGATACTTTCTGCACAACGGGGCCTAATCGCCAAAACTCCACTACATTCATTTGTGTATTCCTGGCAATAAATATGTATTCTTACATCAAAACCGTCACTCCTGATTGAACCCCTGTTCCTCACACAGTCCATTTGTCCAGGTGAACATTTATCGGCTCATTGTCTGACTTTATGACAACTCTTCAACACTGTAGCTTATGGAGCTTTCTCAACAACCGACTTTGAAATCTTTCCAGTCAATGAGTCCTTGAATGGACCAACACTATACGTCTGGAACAAACCTACAACCCCATTTTTACAAAATGTAAAAGGGAAGGTTGAAATATTTTTGTAAGTGTCCATTCACAGTGAAGAAAATAGAAACTAATGGCTGCTTGAAATCACATTTAGTTCGCCTCCTTTGCAGTCATAGATAATGCCACATGTCCTTTTGAATGAGTAAAACTTTACTTTAAAAGGGAAATAAAAGGTTCTGAAAATCTCCCTATGTTTGATCCTTTTGTGTCCGATGAAGACAGAGGACATGTGTTTCAGAGCAGATACAGTATGTATGATGCAGCATAACAAGTATCTACTAAAGCTACAAGAGAAATACTACTCAGGTGCAACAATCACCAAATGACACATGAACACATTCAGTTTGTATGATGGGTTTTCTAAATGTTAAAAAAAGAGAAATAGTGCTATTTTGAGACTTAAAATAGCAAACCATAAATGATGAAAGGTATCTGGATGTTGATACAACATTGCACAGTGCCATATTTGTGTAGAAAAGAGAAATATGCTGCCTGTACATTGTGATGCGTACATCCCCGCCGGAACGACTCACACCGAGTGAGTCACTGATTGAATGAATTATACATGAGTGAGTTATTTTCTGAATCCACACACTACCTGCAACTAAAAATAAAACACACCAGTTGGGATTGTTAGAAGCTACTCTTGCTTGTTTTCTTAAAGTGCAAAGTGTTTTTTCTTAATACATAAATAACATAAAAAAGGAAATGATACACATCAAATCAAATGTTTTTGTGTCTCTGTTCTTATCTTGGGAAAATACTCATGTAAGACCTTCAAAAACCCAACGGTGTGTGTGTGTGTGTGTGTGTGTGTGTGTGTGTGTGTGTGTGTTTGTCATTATTACATTGTGTGGCCATGCATCAGACAGCCCAGTCACGCCGTGGGGTCCAATTTTTTTGTGGGGTCCAAAACCCTGGACCCCACAAATTTTACCTCATATTCATTATAATTAAGGTCAGAACTATGCCCTGTGAAGTTTTCAGGGTTGTCCCCAAAAATCACTTTTACCGACTTAGTGTGTATAAGTGTGCTAACAGGAGGTAACTCAGTATCAGCCACTACTGGCCAAGGCAGGTACTGCATCCCACACACACATTCCATTCTCCACACACACTTTGCTGAACTGCGCATGTGCAAGCAGCCATCTTCCAACATATTGAGCTGTTTGATTAGCTGGTAGCACTTAGCTCCTTAGCTTAGTGTCTTTAATGAAATACAGAATTAAAAACACAAATATATACATTTTTGGTGAGTTTGACTTGTGTTGTCACAATAACAAGCAATGAATCATTAATCATTAATTATGTAAATAACAAATATAAAAAGATTTGAGAGATTACAGACTACAGCTGTTGTTAGCATAAATGCTAACTTAACATTGAAAATGCCATAGACAAGCTAAACGTTAGCATACATGCTAACTTTACATTGAAATCGGCTTAGACAAGCTAACCGTTAGCATAAATGCTAACTTAACATTGAAAACGCCATAGACAAGCTAAACATTTGCAAAATGCTAAAATATTATGTTCTAAGAGTGCTCAGATCTTGTGCTTGAGTAAAAGATTACTCAGATATTGCACTTGTCACCTTTTTCATACCTGATGAGTTTACATCCCTGTATATATATATATATAAAATACAAATAAAAATGTTCTTAATATTAGCCTTGTTTTAATGGTCAGATTGGGTCACCTTGATTTAATATTGGGACATTCCTGGTGGGCGGAGACAGGAATTCTCATTGTGATAGCATGACCACCCTTACAGGATGTGCTGACTCTTTAAAACAAGCGCTCCATATGAGGACAGAACCACGTGAATTTCGTTTTGCACTTCACTGGCAGTGGGATCGTAGCTAAAAAGGTGAGTTATTATTTTAAAGGCACATATGTTACTGAACATTAACCAGGTAGCTTACATTCAGACTATGAAAATGTGTTTGCATGCTTTAAAATGTAGCAATCAACATGAAGTAACTCAGTAAAAAACAGTTATAGCAACAGGTTTTGTATATTAATAATTTCACTTTGGAGAGATTGCTACCTCATGTTAGCAGGCTAGCTAACGTTAGCTAACGTTGCTAGCATTGAAACACCTGCTTAGTCTGCTTCAATCTAGGGCTGCTCAATTAATCGTATTTTAATCGCAATTACGATTATGGCTTGCAACGATTACGAAAACAATGTAATTGAAATAAAACGATTATATTTTTATTTATTTTTTTGGAAATTATTTTTTTATTGGTTTTTCAGTTGAATTGTAATTACAGTTCAGGGTAATCAACTGTTAGAACATACTGTTCACATTTTTTTTCTCCAATAAATTGATGTTTTCAAGGTAAATGGATAATCGTTTTTAATAATGGTGATATCAATTATTGACCCAAATAATCGAGATTATGATTTTTGCCATAATCGAGCAGCCCTACTTCAATCCATCAACTAGATGTAGTTGTCTAATACTTAAAGTATTTGAATGAATTGCAATAATTATGGTGGTGTCTGGTCACATTAACGCTTCATTGTTTTTGATTATAGGATACACTATGGCGGGACTGAGACGCAGGAAACCCCCCCTCAAGGATGCGATCGAACATGCAAGCGAGGCAGTTGACAAGACTGCAAAATTGGAAGTGATGTACATCAACTCTTTTAAAGGTATGTCTTTTTGTCATCAGTACAATTTGTGTTTTTATGTTCAAAGTTTTATCAGATCCTACAACCTTACTAGTACTTAGAGTTCATTGATTAAAGTACTGTTGCATTAATTGCATCCTCATACTATTGAGAGATGTTGTATTGAAGGGTGGGAAAGCTGAATTGTTTGCCTGGTCTAGTGTGCCAGGATAATGTATAAACCAAACCAGAGCTAATAACTATTATTACTATAAATATAAAACTCTAGTTTTGGTGGATTTTAATAAAAAACCATGGCAAGAAGATGAATAACTGTACATTTAATCATTTTAATAATAACCTGTAATTGGGATAGGTCGAGGGGTCTTTGCCACTTCTCATTTCCAAAAAGGAGACTTTGTGGTGGAGTACAGAGGGGAATTAATACATTCTGAAGAATCACAAAAGAGGAGGAGGATATATCATGTCAGCTGTGCTGTCTTTATGTTTGACTTCTACTGGCAAGAAAGAACATGGTGGTAAGTCCTAAATACAATTTTACATATTTGAAATTGAGTTGCAAGTTGTTATTTTATGAACATAAAACGTGGTTTATTTTTATTTATTAAGTGTTGATGCTGCACAAGAAGATTCCAGTCTAGGAAGATTAGTCAATGATGACCACAAACATCCAAACTGCAAAATGAAGAAGGTCATGGCAGAGAACAAGCCACACCTCTGTCTCTTTGCTCTTCGAGACATTAATCCTGGAGAAGAGATAATATACGATTACGGAGGAACTGATTGGCCTTGGAGAAAACAGGTTTGAAAAATATATTTGCAAAATTTCAAGTAGATTTGACAACGATTTATTTTCTTATGGGTGTGTTAGTAAATATTAGATTAGGAGTTATTCTCTTTCCTCGCATTTAGACTAACAGTTGTTTCTACCTTCTAATTTTTGGATCAGGTAAATGCACCGTCTTATCAATAATAATGTTGAATTATTCTTCAGGTTGGAGAGCCAGCTACTGCCATCGAGTCTTCTGAGGCTGAGATCCCCAGTACGAGTGAGCCAGCTCCTCAGAGATCTTCAATCTCCGACACACAGGTATGTCTTCAATGGATTTTCCCCTTGACTACATTTCCCTAATAATTCAGTATTTACAAATGTCCTGCTTTATTGATATTTGGTATTGGCATTTGATGGTTCAATTGGCTTTTCTGTAGATCAGTGTATCTCTGAATGTGTGCTGCTGAACACAGTCAGGTTTTTGTGATTAAATGGGGTCCAGTCAGAGGGACTAAAGCAGAGTAGTTTCACACACACATGTCAGGGGTCCTGTTGTTGTGGGGTCCACGTTACTGTGTTACTATCACCACATTCAACTACACTTCTTTTGGTTTTTCTGACCATAAACTTGGTGAAGCATCATGTTTGACATGTGTGCTCTAACGTTAGCTCAGTTTGCTTTGTACCATTCATACCAGCTGTTGGTGAGAGGTCAATTCATGCTCCCAGACTCCACCTACACCTCTTTTTAACTGTTTGAGTTACATGAGGCAACATATTTATAGCAGATACCAGAGCCAACCTAACATATCATATTAAAAACGATTATGAGTCACATAAACATTATCCAATACCTCCTTACTCATTGTGTGTAGGTTTTCTGTTCACGTTTAGTGTTGTTGCATTGAAACAATATATTAATAATGTTGAATTATTCTTCAGGTTGGAGAGCCAGCTACTGCCATCGAGTCTTCTGAGGCTGAGATCCCCAGTACGAGTGAGCCAGCTCCTCAGAGATCTTCAATCTCCGACACACAGGTATGTCTTCAATGGATTTTCCCCTTGACTACATTTCCCTAATAATTCAGTATTTACAAATGTCCTGCTTTATTGATATTTGGTATTGGCATTTGATGGTTCAATTGGCTTTTCTGTAGATCAGTGTATCTCTGAATGTGTGCTGCTGAACACAGTCAGGTTTTTGTGATTAAATGGGGTCCAGTCAGAGGGCTTATAGCAGAGTAGTTTCACACACACATGTCAGGGGTCCTGTTGTTGTGGGGTCCACGTTACTGTGTTACTATCACCACATTCAACTACACTTCTTTTGGTTTTTCTGACCATAAACTTGGTGAAGCATCATGTTTGACATGTGTGCTCTAACGTTAGCTCAGTTTGCTTTGTACCATTCATACCAGCTGTTGGTGAGAGGTCAATTCATGCTCCCAGACTCCACCTACACCTCTTTTTAACTGTTTGAGTTACATGAGGCAACATATTTATAGCAGATACCAGAGCCAACCTAACATATCATATTAAAAACGATTATGAGTCACATAAACATTATCCAATACCTCCTTACTCATTGTGTGTAGGTTTTCTGTTCACGTTTAGTGTTGTTGCATTGAAACAATATATTAATAATGTTGAATTATTCTTCAGGTTGGAGAGCCAGCTACTGCCATCGAGTCTTCTGAGGCTGAGATCCCCAGTACGAGTGAGCCAGCTCCTCAGAGATCTTCAATCTCCGACACACAGGTATGTCTTCAATGGATTTTCCCCTTGACTACATTTCCCTAATAATTCAGTATTTACAAATGTCCTGCTTTATTGATATTTGGTATTGGCATTTGATGGTTCAATTGGCTTTTCTGTAGATCAGTGTATCTCTGAATGTGTGCTGCTGAACACAGTCAGGTTTTTGTGATTAAATGGGGTCCAGTCAGAGGGCTTATAGCAGAGTAGTTTCACACACACATGTCAGGGGTCCTGTTGTTGTGGGGTCCACGTTACTGTGTTACTATCACCACATTCAACTACACTTCTTTTGGTTTTTCTGACCATAAACTTGGGGAAGCATCATGTTTGACATGTGTGCTCTAACGTTAGCTCAGTTTGCTTTGTACCATTCATACCAGCTGTTGGTGAGAGGTCAATTCATGCTCCCAGACTCCACCTACACCTCTTTTTAACTGTTTGAGTTACATGAGGCAACATATTTATAGCAGATACCAGAGCCAACTTAACATATCATATTAAAAACGATTATGAGTCACATAAACATTATCCAATACCTCCTTACTCATTGTGTGTAGGTTTTCTGTTCACGTTTAGTGTTGTTGCATTGAAACAATATATTAATAATGTTGAATTATTCTTCAGGTTGGAGAGCCAGCTACTGCCATCGAGTCTTCTGAGGCTGAGATCCCCAGTACGAGTGAGCCAGCTCCTCAGAGATCTTCAATCTCCGACACACAGGTATGTCTTCAATGGATTTTCCCCTTGACTACATTTCCCTAATAATTCAGTATTTACAAATGTCCTGCTTTATTGATATTTGGTATTGGCATTTGATGGTTCAATTGGCTTTTCTGTAGATCAGTGTATCTCTGAATGTGTGCTGCTGAACACAGTCAGGTTTTTGTGATTAAATGGGGTCCAGTCAGAGGGACTAAAGCAGAGTAGTTTCACACACACATGTCAGGGGTCCTGTTGTTGTGGGGTCCACGTTACTGTGTTACTATCACCACATTCAACTACACTTCTTTTGGTTTTTCTGACCATAAACTTGGGGAAGCATCATGTTTGACATGTGTGCTCTAACGTTAGCTCAGTTTGCTTTGTACCATTCATACCAGCTGTTGGTGAGAGGTCAATTCATGCTCCCAGACTCCACCTACACCTCTTTTTAACTGTTTGAGTTACATGAGGCAACATATTTATAGCAGATACCAGAGCCAACCTAACATATCATATTAAAAACGATTATGAGTCACATAAACATTATCCAATACCTCCTTACTCATTGTGTGTAGGTTTTCTGTTCACGTTTAGTGTTGTTGCATTGAAACAATATATTAATAATGTTGAATTATTCTTCAGGTTGGAGAGCCAGCTACTGCCATCGAGTCTTCTGAGGCTGAGATCCCCAGTACGAGTGAGCCAGCTCCTCAGAGATCTTCAATCTCCGACACACAGGTATGTCTTCAATGGATTTTCCCCTTGACTACATTTCCCTAATAATTCAGTATTTACAAATGTCCTGCTTTATTGATATTTGGTATTGGCATTTGATGGTTCAATTGGCTTTTCTGTAGATCAGTGTATCTCTGAATGTGTGCTGCTGAACACAGTCAGGTTTTTGTGATTAAATGGGGTCCAGTCAGAGGGCTTATAGCAGAGTAGTTTCACACACACATGTCAGGGGTCCTGTTGTTGTGGGGTCCACGTTACTGTGTTACTATCACCACATTCAACTACACTTCTTTTGGTTTTTCTGACCATAAACTTGGTGAAGCATCATGTTTGACATGTGTGCTCTAACGTTAGCTCAGTTTGCTTTGTACCATTCATACCAGCTGTTGGTGAGAGGTCAATTCATGCTCCCAGACTCCACCTACACCTCTTTTTAACTGTTTGAGTTACATGAGGCAACATATTTATAGCAGATACCAGAGCCAACCTAACATATCATATTAAAAACGATTATGAGTCACATAAACATTATCCAATACCTCCTTACTCATTGTGTGTAGGTTTTCTGTTCACGTTTAGTGTTGTTGCATTGAAACAATATATTAATAATGTTGAATTATTCTTCAGGTTGGAGAGCCAGCTACTGCCATCGAGTCTTCTGAGGCTGAGATCCCCAGTACGAGTGAGCCAGCTCCTCAGAGATCTTCAATCTCCGACACACAGGTATGTCTTCAATGGATTTTCCCCTTGACTACATTTCCCTAATAATTCAGTATTTACAAATGTCCTGCTTTATTGATATTTGGTATTGGCATTTGATGGTTCAATTGGCTTTTCTGTAGATCAGTGTATCTCTGAATGTGTGCTGCTGAACACAGTCAGGTTTTTGTGATTAAATGGGGTCCAGTCAGAGGGCTTATAGCAGAGTAGTTTCACACACACATGTCAGGGGTCCTGTTGTTGTGGGGTCCACGTTACTGTGTTACTATCACCACATTCAACTACACTTCTTTTGGTTTTTCTGACCATAAACTTGGTGAAGCATCATGTTTGACATGTGTGCTCTAACGTTAGCTCAGTTTGCTTTGTACCATTCATACCAGCTGTTGGTGAGAGGTCAATTCATGCTCCCAGACTCCACCTACACCTCTTTTTAACTGTTTGAGTTACATGAGGCAACATATTTATAGCAGATACCAGAGCCAACCTAACATATCATATTAAAAACGATTATGAGTCACATAAACATTATCCAATACCTCCTTACTCATTGTGTGTAGGTTTTCTGTTCACGTTTAGTGTTGTTGCATTGAAACAATATATTAATAATGTTGAATTATTCTTCAGGTTGGAGAGCCAGCTACTGCCATCGAGTCTTCTGAGGCTGAGATCCCCAGTACGAGTGAGCCAGCTCCTCAGAGATCTTCAATCTCCGACACACAGGTATGTCTTCAATGGATTTTCCCCTTGACTACATTTCCCTAATAATTCAGTATTTACAAATGTCCTGCTTTATTGATATTTGGTATTGGCATTTGATGGTTCAATTGGCTTTTCTGTAGATCAGTGTATCTCTGAATGTGTGCTGCTGAACACAGTCAGGTTTTTGTGATTAAATGGGGTCCAGTCAGAGGGCTTATAGCAGAGTAGTTTCACACACACATGTCAGGGGTCCTGTTGTTGTGGGGTCCACGTTACTGTGTTACTATCACCACATTCAACTACACTTCTTTTGGTTTTTCTGACCATAAACTTGGTGAAGCATCATGTTTGACATGTGTGCTCTAACGTTAGCTCAGTTTGCTTTGTACCATTCATACCAGCTGTTGGTGAGAGGTCAATTCATGCTCCCAGACTCCACCTACACCTCTTTTTAACTGTTTGAGTTACATGAGGCAACATATTTATAGCAGATACCAGAGCCAACTTAACATATCATATTAAAAACGATTATGAGTCACATAAACATTATCCAATACCTCCTTACTCATTGTGTGTAGGTTTTCTGTTCACGTTTAGTGTTGTTGCATTGAAACAATATATTAATAATGTTGAATTATTCTTCAGGTTGGAGAGCCAGCTACTGCCATCGAGTCTTCTGAGGCTGAGATCCCCAGTACGAGTGAGCCAGCTCCTCAGAGATCTTCAATCTCCGACACACAGGTATGTCTTCAATGGATTTTCCCCTTGACTACATTTCCCTAATAATTCAGTATTTACAAATGTCCTGCTTTATTGATATTTGGTATTGGCATTTGATGGTTCAATTGGCTTTTCTGTAGATCAGTGTATCTCTGAATGTGTGCTGCTGAACACAGTCAGGTTTTTGTGATTAAATGGGGTCCAGTCAGAGGGCTTATAGCAGAGTAGTTTCACACACACATGTCAGGGGTCCTGTTGTTGTGGGGTCCATGGTAATTGGATGATAAAGTAAACATTTAAAAGAAAGATAATTTAATATTTATCTGTAATTCATTTTTTAGTCCTAATAAATCATTGAAATGTTTTCATACGTTTTTAAATCAAGACATTTAAATGTTTTTTTAAATGTATACTTATATTAACAATGTCAGCCGTTACTCTTTCCATATGATTATAAGTTAATTAATTTGAAAAAAGCACTTCAACATTTGAATAATTTATTTTTTATATTTCATTCACTGTTATAGATTCAGCCAGAAGCTAAAGTAATGGCTTTGCTCTATATTGACACAAATCTAATGTCACGTTGCTCAATGAAATGGTACATGTTATGAAAGAAATATCAAACGTTTTCAGTTTTCTTAATGCTAGTTCATATACATACATCAATGTTTGCGTGTTATGTTAGCATATTCTTTACTATGTTTTCTTTTCTTTAGCATTTAGGTGAAACAGAGTCCTATCTTTTAAAGAAAAAATATGGGATGATGGTTTCCCTTGTAAACTACACAGATTCAGACGAATCTCAGAGTCCGTCCCGAATTGCCATCCATGACGATAGCTCTCAGGTATTGTCATACATTCAGTTTTTCGTGTATTCATGTATTATGTATCATATATATTTCTATTGATTTATTGGTACAAATGCCAACTACATACATTTATTTTGGACACTCCAGGCATGGAGTCCAGGTACTGACATTGAACTCAAAGAAGACAAAGATATTTTCCCAATGCTGAGGAGGACTAAAAGCATACAGGTAAGCAACATTTATGTAGAGATGATCAATGTACTAATCCTTATATGTTGTTACTGGTGGTTTCAATACATTGTAATTTAAAGTCTGAATAGCAATTGTTTAATAGGTGAAGTAATTTATAATTTCTTTTCTTAAGATGACCAGCCAGATTGAGTTTGATTCAGATGAGCTCTTTGACCCCAGCTCAGCGGACAGTGGAGAGGAATATATTCCTAAAACGAGTGAAGACTCTTCTGGTACAGACACAAGCGAAGTTATTGACATAGTCCACAAAAAAGACAGCATGCTTGGACGCCAATACTTTCAAAAGCTGTCTCACATCAGTGATGAATGTCTCTTACCAACCCAAGTGAACAGTAGTTCTTCACAGCAGGTGCCCAAGAGAGGACGCTCCCCCTCAAGAAGAGATAGCAATTCCATTATTAAACGCAAAAGACAATGTTTAGGCAGTGGATCCTGTCCCACAACACGAACCATAGGGGGTAAATCGTTAAAACAGAGTATAGTTGGCGACACTGGATCCGTATCTGAAAACTCGACACATGAAGTTGAACCAAATCTTCCTGATGGGGCCTCTTCCCTTCTTACAGAAAACAAAGTAGCTGAAGGTTCACGTTCACCTTGCATACCTGCCGTTTGTAAAAAGGAGGATGGGTCAAGAATGTACAACAAAAAGCAATATTGTTTGTACTGTAAGATAGGAGTTGGAAAAATAGCAAGGCATTTGGAGCGTGCGCATCACAATAAGCCTGACGTTGCACAGGCTTTGTCCTTCCCAAAAGGTTCTAAAGAAAGAAGAATGCATTTGGAACATTTAAGAAACAGAGGCAACTTCGCCCACAATGTTGAGGTATTAAATGCTGGCGTTGGAAATCTTGTTTCTCGCAAGCAACCCAAACAGGACTCTCAAGCACAGAATTTCCTCCATTGTGTTTATTGTCAAGGATTGTTCAACAAGAAACTCCTTTGGCGGCACATGAAGATCTGCAAGTTCAAACCCGATGTTCCACAAAAACCTGGCAAAACCCGTGCCCAGGCCCTGTCTGCATTTGCAGTACCTCCACCACCTGGCGTCAAGATAGAGTTTTGGAAGCTGTTAAACAACATGGTTCAAGATGATGTTTACATTGCTGTCAAATCTGATGTATGTATCATGGAGTATGGTGAGCACCTGTATAACAGGCTTGGATATGATGTTGGCAAGCATGAATACATACGGCAGAAACTGAGGGAGCTTGGAAGGCTTCTGGTATGTTCGAGGAAAACTACTCCCTTAAAGACTATTCAAGACCATGTCAAACCCATCAATTTCTTGTATGTTGTGCAAGCAGTCAAACATGTGGCAGGCTTCGACAGTGAAACCAATACATACAAGTGCCCAAGTCTTGCCCTTAAAATTGGACATAGCTTGAAAAAGATGTCAATGCTTGTTGAAAGCCGTGCAAACGTACAGAGCAACTACTCAGCAGCTAAAGATGCTCGTACGTTCCGCAGAGTATATGAAACCCGATGGAATGAACTGATTTCTGCCGCATCACTGAGAACCCTTCAGGAATCCAAGTGGAATGCTCCTCAGTTGCTTCCATTTACAAAAGATGTCCAGACTCTCCATTCTTATTTAGATGTGCAACAACAAGAAGTTCACATTAAATTGTCTGCAGATAAATCTCCCCAGACATGGTCACAGTTAGCAAAGGTCACTTTGACACAAGTCATTTTGTTTAACCGACGTAGAGCAGGGGAAGTTTCAAAAATGCCCCTATCTGCATATTTGTCTCAAAATCCATCACATCCTCAGGAAGATGTAAATATTGCCCTGTCAGAACTAGAAAAGAAACTATGTAAATACTTCAGGAGGATAGAGATAAGAGGAAAGAGGGGAAGAAAGGTCCCTGTGCTTTTGACCCCAGCAATGCAGCAAGCACTGGATCTGCTCGTCGGCACACGGCAGGAATGTGGGGTTCCTAAGGAGAACATTTACTTGTTTGCGAGACCATCTGCTTTCACCTGCTACCGCGGTTCTGATTGCCTTCGATACTTTGCCAAGGCCTGTGGTGCAAAGAATCCTGAAAGTCTCACCTCTACAAAACTACGCAAGCAAACTGGAACTCTGTCTCAGGTTCTTAACCTCACCAATACAGAGCTGGATCTGTTGGCAGATTTTCTCGGCCATGACATAAGAGTGCATCGGCAATTCTACAGACTTCCTGAGGGCACCCTTCAGCTTGCTAAGATCAGCAAACTTCTCATGGCCTTGGAGCAAGGACGCCTGGCAGAATTCCAGGGCAAGACCCTGGATGACATCAGCATTGATCCTGAGGGTAAAATCTTTTTTTACATGTTCATACATGAAATACCATTTCTGTTTCCAAAGTAATTGTACTTGTATATAAAAACATATTTTTCTAGGGCATTATTGGAGCATGTCAGACTACATTTAAGTGCATTGTGCTTTTACTAATTAATTCTTCATTCTCCTTCCTCTAACCCCAAACTTACAGAGAATGTGCACATGGACAGCGACAATGAGACAGCGTGTGAGTCAGACTCACAAGGTAAATATTATTTTTAAGTGGGACCATGCTATGTCCCATTCAAGTTTGTGGGATATGATCCTGATCTTTAGTACTGTACCATTTTGTATCAGCTGTATCGGCAAGTCAGATTGTTGTAATTACCATAATTTTGATTAGATTTTTGAGCTACTTCATAAAAATACATTAAATATTGCGTCATAAATACAAAATTGTAAGACTTAAATTACTGATGTGATATGAATGAAAGATTACTTTGATATTACAAACCAGTTCACACTGTAGAGCTCAGCTGTAAATAAAAGCAGCGTAGAAATACAAGTTTGTTTGGATAGACAAAAGGAGGGAGAACACAGTAAAGAAAGGATCAGATTTAGTTTTTAGCCATTATACACCCATTAAAAAAAGCCGGATCAAATCTTCGAGTTTTAGCTCGGGATATATCTAATTTTCTTGCAACACCTAATTGATTATTTTGTATATCTGGTTTTCAGAGGGTCAAGTCACATCCACTCAGATGGAGAATAAAACATCAATGAGAGATGGGAGCAATACAGATGAAGCATCGCAACAGGGCCCTATGACACCTCCACCAGCCGCTCAACCACAGACCGAGAGAAGGCAAAAAGGTCAACTTTTTAGACCATACTTTGTTACTGAATGCTCTTCCATGGTTGATGTAATGTTTCATGGTTCTACACTGACATATTTTAGATCTGCTTGTGTATAATGTTAACTCTTTTGAATATATAACATTACATTTGCATCTTCTATTTGCTCTCTTGCATTTTCAGTTACTGGTTAGCAATTTTTCTTTGTTTCAATCCAATGTAAAGGGGTTATTTCAAACGCATTAGAAAATGTATACCTAGTTTACCACCAGGATTATGCAGTAGTTTTGGTACGTTCATGTGTGAGGTTTTGAGATATTCTCCTCTGAAACTTCTGCCACCATGCCCTTTATATCTAAGGTCAATGGAATCAGAATTATTGCTGACATTCTGGGAGAATGTCGTAAAACTACTTAATGTGTATTATTATTTATTATTATGTTTTGTACCAATCAATATTGATTTATTACAGAATATAAAATGGAGACAGACATATATGAATAACAACAAGTAGCATAATATGTAAATAAATTCTATCAACTTTTTCTCTCAAATAACTTTTCCATAGCAGTTCCAGAAAAACACAAAATAATGTATTTGTCATTTTTATACAGGTCGGCAGCCTTTCAAGAAAAAGCTGTGGGAAAAGACGGAGATCCAAGCTGTTGAGAAGCACCTGATGTCTTTCATTAACACATGTCGCGTTCCGCGGAAAAGCGACTGCGATAAGTGTCTTAAAATGGAAGGAGAAGCACTCAAACAAAGAAATTGGTTGGCCATAAAGTTTTATATAAAGAATCGGATCACAGCTCTCAAGAGCAAAATGTAAAGTGATCATTGATGTCTGTTGACACCATTACTTTTTTTTGTAAAGTGTAATGCTTGCAAAAGTTAAATGTTTGATGTAAGCCGCTATACAAATATATAGATCATACTTTATTTCTTCTTTCACCCCTCATTGATGTCCTCTTAATACCTCCTTTTCTTTTATCTGAATTATTCACAATTTCCTCTTCAACCTTATCTATTTGATCTTCTCTTACCTCTATGCTTTTTAAATCTCATCTCTTTTTTGTAATCTTCCTTTTATCTGAACTACCTTATCATCTCTTCTAGTTTCTCATATTATCTTGTTTTTTTCTTAACACAATTTAATCTTGTCCCTTTTCACACTTTCAATTTCCTCATTTCTTTCAATATCATCTGGAAATACATTATTATATATATATATTTATATATATAAATAATAATGTATTCTAATGTATTGTATGTAATAATTAAAAGTCTAATAACGACAATCTCCTTGTATTTACTGGAAAGCTCTATAATAACATTGTATTGCTTAAATGGAAATTACAATGACTATTTAAGCAGAATACCCATATAAGCATGACTTGTATGGCTCCAATAATTAACACTTAGAACACAAACCCCTCTTTATTTAAAAAGAAGGAAACTGATGCAAATTCAGTAAATGTACTGTGAGTCTCATTCACGAGTTCAGACATCCCTGTGTCACAGTGGTTAAATAGACTAATAAAAAGCATTACTATAATAGCTTAAATATTAATTAAAATGCTATCAGTACATTAGAATTCAATATAATTGTGTCACAACAGAAGCTACATGTTGACACTAAAGGTGAAAATCCTTCTGCATCATGATAGCCCTCACTTTGACAGTCAAAGGTGTTGCATTGTTACCTAAAGTAAGTTTAGTAATAGTGTGCTAAGTGGCCCCACTAATGTTTTAAACCAGACAGTGTATTTTTGGAGCCCACACATGACTAAAAGCCAGACAGTGTGTATATATGGACCCCTCCTGTAACTCTGTACCTGACAAGACCCCATGAAACGGGTTATAGTCCGGTCAGTGACCTCTACTTTCTCTGATTGATAATTTGAAGTGAAATCTTTGTTTGAGTCCACTTCAGGATTCTGCCTGATTTTTTACAGTGCTGTACAACCTTCAGAAAGGGTGGACCCCAAAAGGGATGGTCTGGTCAGGTACCCCCAGAATGTAATAAAGACAAGGGTGTGTGTGTGTGTGTGTGTGTGTGTGTGTGTGTGTGTGTGTGTGTGTGTGTGTGTGTGTGTGTGTGTGTGTGTGTGTGTGTGTGTGGCCTAGCATTACTATACTTGTGGGGACCTAAATCTGTTTACACAGTCACGTGTGGGGACTCGCCTCCCTTATGCGGACAAAATGGAGGTCCCCATGAGGGGAATAATTAATTTTAGGGTGAAGACATGGTTAGGTTTAGGGTTAGGGTTAGGCATTTGTTGGTTATGGTTAAGGTTAGTATAAGACTCCAGGAAATGCATGTAAGTCAATGTAATGTCCCCCGAAGTGATGTATACATGGTATGTATGTGTGTGTGTGTGTGTGTGTGTGTGTGTAATCCTGCTACTCCTGGTGTACTGTGTGTTTATGGTTTCTTTTTGGATTTGATAATGCCACGCAGCTCAATGCCATTGATTTACAGCTGTCCTTGCTCAGTGCTGCGCGCGGCTGAGTTGCCATTCCCATCTTGGTCTACCGGCTCTTTATCAAATCAATTTTGCGATGGTTTTGTATCTGCTTTTGTGCACGCTAGATCATACAGGTATGTGTGTGTTCACATGCCAATTTTTCAATCCCACAACGTTTTCCCACCACTCAGAAATCCCAGCGTAAAAGACGAAGCCACAGCTGCCAACAGACTAACTAGAAATACGAGCGCAGGTAACCGCAGGTGTTATCGAACATATTTTATCCATGCCAAGAAAAACAAGTGATGTAAATGAGTACCAGAGAAGTGCCGGTGTCTGGGCCGCCATGCAGGGGGGAATCCATTGGGTTTGCCACAATAACAATCGATCACAAACACAACTCATCTCTGTGAAGTCGTTTGTCTCCCGCTCCACGCGTGACTGGAACCCCTTTGTGGCGCTGCTGGGCCCAGTGCCCAGCAGAGTGATGGAGGTGCGAGTGTTTACCCTTGCATGAGATATCTATCACCTTCCGCTGTGTGATGTTGGATCAAAGAGGCACTGAGACAAACAGTATTTCAAATGTACTAGTAGATTAGCGCCGGGACCTGCAAGACTGTTGTTGTGTTGCTCACAGCTTGAAGCTGTTTTCCTTCATGGGGAAATGAATTCCCTAAATGATTTTCCTCAGTGGCTTTTTTTGACATCATCTGACTTTCCCATTCTACAGAAAGGTATGACTCACTTTGTCATTGCTGTCATCCTGCTGGTATTTCTTTTAGCCTCTGTAGGCAGATGAAGCCTCATATCTGACAAGTTTATATTAATGCCTCCAACTAGAGAGATAAATAGAGCCTCATGCAATAATCCATAATATCTGAGCTATAGCCTACTTTCCATTTAAGTAACTAGGTGAGAGTGCGGAGAACTATATTGTTTTTTAAAGGACAGGACATAGAGAAAGAGGAGAAACGTGTTGGAGGTAGAGCAGAGGATGTAGCATGTAGTAAGAAACACTGCGCTACAAAGCAGCTTGTGTGGGGGCAGATGTGAGGCTGTGGATTACTTTGCCACACTCGCCAAACATGTGGAGTGTAGGTGTGTCAAGCATGTCAGCAGGTGACTCTGTAAAACTGTCAAACCCTGGCACTTTCTGCACATAATTGCACTTTCTTTTCTGGCATGCAGAGCAACAGAACTCAGTGCCATACTTTAAGGTGTCAAACTTGTTCCTAGCAACAGCTTTTTTGTGCCCTCAAACCACACAACAGACATGAATGGATGTAGTACAATTGGAGAGCTACTATTGGAATTGAATTTGAGCATGTACGATTCACAATAAGGTGGTACATTTATATGATTCCTTGTTTTCTATACCAGGACTAAGCAGTCTTTCCTCTGGGAGCCTTATTACAAGTATTGACTTACTTACTTATCTTTAGTCTGTGCGTCTTCTAAACCTTTTATGGAGGTTTCCGACCATCCCTGTGATTTCCCCTTTCACATATCGTTCAATATGGCTTTTATTTTCCGCCAGTTTTGTTCTCCTAGATGTTACCAGAGAGCACAAAATTGCTCACTGATATAATCTGCTACAGGATGTGACATTTAATGGTTTTGTGTGCGTGTCTGAGTGTGTTCATATTGAAAGTGTGTGCCCATGGGTGCGTGTAGAGCCGTATATATTTAGACAAAGTGTTCCACACGGGTGTATAGGATGGGGGTAATTTGGTGAGGAGGGATCTCTGTCTGTCTCAATACCTGGACACATACATCTTCAATCTTCTTCATTTCGCCACAGACTGCTGCTGCATCCTAAACTGCTGCTTGGAACTTTATTATATGTGTGCATCCTGTGTGTAAAGAAGTGGAGATACTCCTAATGGAGTACTCTGCAGCCAGGCAGGAGTGGCTGCCGGTTGTTTACTGACCAGCACAACCCAGCGGCGCAAACACAACGCTAGCTATTAATCCCAGACAGCAGAGAGAGGCAGAGAAAGGAAATGATAGTTTGAAGAAAGTACACCAGCTTGTTCTTATCATACCAAATGCTTTGTCCAAGAGGGAGAAGCCATTATCCTCTCGTCTTCTCCCTTTCAATCTTCTCTTCTCTCCATTCCAGTCTCTTCTCGTACAGACACTGTTGTTAGCAGGCTTTGACATATGTAATGCCATGTGCCATAAAAGGCTCTATTTATCGCTCTCAGCACCGCCCTCTGTATACTCTGCCAAACTGTCACGAAAAGTCAATGTGACCTTTAGCTTTGGCTTATGGGCTATAGAGTACACACAAGCACGCTGGTGAAGCTAATAAACATAAACACTCAAGTTATTTCAACATCTTAGTGGCAATGGAACAAGGCCATTTTATTTGTATGACAGCATTCAGACACAAGGCAAATCAAAGTGACATATCAAACATAAGATAAAATGTCTTTTAAAAAGACAATAAAAAAGAGAAACAGGTAATAAATAGTTGAATAATAGAAAGAAAGTGCCTTTTAAAATATAAAAAAAATCACAAAGCAGGATAAAAATAGGACTTGGAAATCCATAGTTAAAATAACAATGTTTAAGCTGGAAGCTTTTGACCTCAGGTATGAAAACACAATATTGGCTTATTATCATGTGACGTTGATACGGTGATAAGTTGATACAGCACACACTTGTCTGTTTACACATCCAACATACATGGAGCAACATTAGCTATATGTCTTTATTCCTTCTCAGCAAAATAACATCCAATTCTTCACAGTGATCATCCGCAGCCCTCCTGACAATGTTTGTTTATTAAGGTTTTCATACCCCTTAAAGCTAATATTTCCCCATCACTGCGATTTTCTTGCAGCTCCTAATAAATCAAGGGCAGAGTCTTCTGTGAGGAAGGTAATCATTTTTATATTTCTTTCAGCTGAAGCCAATTAACGCTATCTGGCTGAGCATTAAATATTCCAGCCTTGTTTAATCCTATTTTAGTTTTCTGCAGAACAGTTTGTTATTAATGTCCACTGTCACATTTCTGACCAGGGCATCATCTAACATCCTCATTTTGTTTAGCGGAATGGTAACCTTTTCAGACAATTAGCAGCTAGGTAGCTATCCTATCTATATCATTTTTTTATCGCTGTTTTTTAATAGCTAATTACATTCTTGGTCACTAATTTGCGCAACAAAAAAAGTTGGTCAAGTCAGGTTAATGGAAAGTTGTAAAAGGAGTTTAGCAGGGTATTTAAAAGCTTTAAATAAATAAAACCTTTATCTGTTGAGCTAAATTATGTTTTTATACTTTTCACCTACCAGCGATTATCCAAAATCAACTTTAATATATTTAATTTATATTTAATACAATTACAAAAGCAGATTAAACAGTACCCATAATCTCCTTATTAAAATCTTAAACATATTCCATTGATATTTTAATCTCCTTGATTTAATAGCTTAGATTTTTGGGGCTATCTATCCATCCATCCATCTTCTCCCGCTTATCCGTGGTCGGATCGCGGGGGTAGCAGTTCCAGCAGAAAGCCCCAAACGTTCCTTTCCCTGGCGACATCAACCAGCTCTGACTGGGGGATCCCAAGGCGCTCCCAGGCAAGCAAAGAGATATAATCCCTCCACCTGGTCCTAGGTCTACCCCTTGGTCTCTTCCCAGCTGGACGTGCCTGGAACACCTCCCTAGGGAGGCGCCTAGGTGGCATCCTAACTAGGTGCCCGAACCACCTCAGCTGGCTCCTTTCGACGCGAAGGAGGAGCGGTTCAACTCCGAGTCCCTCCCGGATGACCGAACTTCTCACCTTATCCCTAAGGGAGACGCCAGCCACCCTGCGGAGAAAACCCATTTCGGCCGCTTGTATCCGCGATCTCGTTCTTTCGGTCATTAAAATGTAACATTACATCAAGAGCCAATGTGAGCCTAGAAGCTGTGGACAATATCATTCAAGGGCCATCAGATAATTGTCCCATTCGACCCCCCCGCAGACAATCCTAAAGCAAACTCTGCATGTGTTTACAGACGACCTGCTACATTATAATAGTGATGGCGTGAGGCCAGAGATGGTGATGTGTTGGCACAGTGGGAAACCCTGGATGTTGTGTCGTACACTGTGGTACTGCACTGAACAGTGAACATCCATGAAGGAGTTATTGATCTTATTATTGCATCCGGAAATCCTCCTGAATACACATTTCAAAGTAATATTTACTGGAAATATTTGTGTTTATATTTGTTGAAATCTTACTCTTGAAACCCTAAGGCTCTGTACATCCAGACAGCAATCAATAAGTAGATATATCTGACAAAATAAATAATAAAACATGCTGCTGTAAGTGATGCTAACATGAAGATTATAGAAGTGCTGAATTGGAAAAATAGGTTTTTCTTTTGAATACATTTCAATATATTGCTTACTTGTGATGCTTCTCTAATCTTACCCACATTATTACATTAGCAAGCTTACAAATATGCTGATATGAAAACAAGTATGAAACTAAGTAAGTTAATTTGTTGCTTCACCAGACTACAAGGTGTGTATTGTCCTCTCGTGGCTACAATATCAACTGACAGTGGAAGGAGATCTCTAAAGGAGCACCACAACAACAATATAATTTGTACCCTTTTCTCTGCAGTGT